AATAAAAATTCCAACGGAAATTCCTATGGTAAAAAGTTGTTGGAAATATAGCCGTTGGAATCATCAAATTCCATCTAAAATTTCAATGAAAAACACATTCCAACAGCAAATTTTTGTTGGAATTCCCGTTGGAATCATTCAAATGGATACGATTGGAATATCCATTGGAATTTCCACTGGAATAAATTACCATAGGATTTTCTGTTGGAATATAACAATTTTTTTGTAGTGTAGTACGAATCTCGTGCGACGGGTAAAAGATATTCATTAATATTTATAAAATTAAAATATTCATTAAATCGTATTTATAAATTAAAAATATGGAATCAATAGTGATACAATTTACCTATATTAAATTATTGAAAATGTTATATGAAATTTAAATTGTGTAAAATTACATAAAACATGTATATTTAAAATTAACTAGTACGTACCCCGTGCGATGCACGGGACAAACATACTAAATGAGTTATTTTCACAATCTTTGTCCGTTTAAGTATATAAAGAAATAGGGTTATCATCTATTTTCCACCTCTTTTAATCAGCGTTAAGTGTAATAAACAATAAGGTTATAATCTATTTTGCATCTCTTTTAATCAGCGTGGTATTTTTACTCAAAATATTAAATATGAGCATGTTGGGCTAGTTTGTAAAATAATTAATATATTATCTCACTAACACATTTATACTAATATAAATTTGATTTTAGTATATAAATTATTCCTTGATATAAGAGACAATAACAATATTACTTATTCCTGATCACCATATAATACTTAATTATTATTTTATTATAAACTTTGTTGTCATATAATGTCATTATTATTTATAAAGTTATAGAAGTTGTACGTCTTCTTTTTCTTAAAAATTTATATTATGGTTAGAACTTAAAATATGGCGTAATATTTATCTTGACCAAAATATTATCAACATGGATCATGGAAATCAATCTTGTAATTTATTATAATGAATATCAATGAAAGTATTACAAATATTAACAAAATAATATTTATCTTGACCAAAATATTATCAACATGAATCACGAAAAATCAATCTTGTAATTTATTATAATAAATATCAATAAAAATATTGCAGATATTAATAAATTTATTTAAGTAATTTTTTTATCATATCTTATTTGATCTAATTTGAAAACGTATATATGGAAGCAATTAATGTATATATTTAAAAAGTTTCCAAAAAGATTGCATTAAATGTTTTCTAAATTTTTGGCTACTATTTCTAGTAAATGGTAATTCTTATTATTATTATTATTATTATTATTATTATTATTNCCGTACGGTGCACGTATCTGATAACAAATTATATTATATTCATTTCAAAATAAATGTCATTTTAAAATTTTTATTCAGAAAATCGATTTGACTACAATGTGATTCCATAAACTAATTATACCGGTATATCATACATTTTAAAAACTATGTGAATAATAAGTATGATTATAAAATTTATATTATTTCATTAACTAAAATGAATTTATTTTTGTATAAGCTATCCAAATCAAACATGTTAATTAGTTGAGTTATCTGTTAAATTATAAATAATTTACTATTTCATTCGTCCAAGTTAATATTAACACGTAAGTTATAAATGATTACTTATTTATTTCAATTTTAAATTTGGAGCCCAAAATTGAACTACACAATAAATTCTCTTATATATTATATACATTATCGCAATTTGTTAGATTTGTTGTCGATTGCCATATTGTTCATATTAATCAATTAATTCTCTAGAATTAAATTACAAATTCTAGAATTTATTAAGAAATATTTGTTCAAAATCTTTCTGATTTTCAAGAGGACTACATACCAATTTGCCGAATTATCATCAATATCTTATATATGACAAGTTATTATGAGAGTATGCTTAAATTTGAAAATCTTATCAACTTGATTTTATAACAAATGAAATTTGTCTTTCATACTCATACCAAATAAAGTTCATTCTAATTATTTGTTTTCAAAATTTTGAAATACACTTCTATCCATACCAAATAAATTCATACCATTAAAATGCAGACAATTTATATCAAAATAAAATCGCCAATTTTATACCACAAATTCGGACATCTATTAATAACAACAAATTTCCTACCAAAAATTAAAATGGTCATCAGATGTCTCAAATAAAAACAATCACTTTATACCAATGCTGGATTTACTAATTTTGGCAATTTTATACCATATATTTATTAATTAATTCCTAGAGGCGAAATTTTTAAAAAAGATCACCAAGTTTAGTAATTTTAAAAATTTTAGGCGGAATATTAGTTTATATTTCAACTAAATACAAACATATATATAGAATTTGGATCCAATGAGAATGGTAGATAGTGAAAGAAATAAGAATAAATTTACACCATCTATCATTATATAAAAAGAATAACCTTTTTACAAATTTAGAAACTTTTTCCCGCCAAAATCATTAAATATATCCTATATATAGTAATTGTTGGACAAATCTGAATAGACAAAAAAATTCGCTCATTAATTGTGTAAAGATTTGTTTCTCTTTTTCCTGTTTCTTAGTTTATTGTTTTAACAATAAATATTTATTTTTTTTTCCTATTTTTAGTATAAATCTACACGAGCTTATCTCTTCTGTTACAAAATCTCATTGCATACGATCTTACGTGTTTAAAAAATCTCATGTCTTATCTATACAGAATTGAAAAAATAAAATAAAATAGAAATCAATTCATAATTACTACTAGAAATCCATTATCTTTAAAAAGAAAAAATAAAATAAAATTAGAAACTAATTCATAATTACTACTAGAAATCCTTAAGAAGCTAATTTTCATCGGTCTAATTACTAATATTTTTACAAATATTCTAAGCTAACCATACAAAAAAGTATAATAATAATTTTGAAATGGTGTGTAATCAAATTTTTTTATATTCTCTTATACAAAATCATTTTACATTGTTTGACTCCGAAGCTTTAATTTATAATTATTAAGTATTGTTTATCCTTCTCTTTTATTTATAATTATTTTTTTTCTTCCTCTTTTTAAATACGATCAATATTAGTTTTCACTTCCGCCATTGACTCAAACTCGAGGTCTATTTATAATATTGTTAATTTAATATTGTTCCCGTGCATCGCACGGGGTACACACTAGTTTGATCCAACATATTAATGGTCATGATGAAATCAAATTTTAATATTGGCTGGCAAACATATAATGGCATTTTTCGTAATTAATTAGACATATTATGGTCAAATAACTACTCATTAAGGGTAGATAGTAATTAGCTCCAATCCCAACACCATGGGACCCACTGACCAAAGTGGGATGCATTCTCAACTTTTTGCATTATCAAAGGTCCTTTATCTCTCTCTCACTCACACACACACACATTACACACACACACACACAGAGGACGGCAGTGGCACCGGCCCGCCGCCTACCGACACCGCCTGTCGCCGTGCTTCCGCCGTGCGCGTACTAGAGACGACAGTGAAACAGGAGGCTCCGGCTGAAATGCCGCCGCCTACGCGCCGTCCACGGCCGCTACCGGCGGAAAAGCCGTCCGCTTCGGGGCCGTGAAATCAGACTGCATTCCGTCGGACGCCTTCGAGATTGCAGTGGGAGAATCGAGGACCTCCGCCAAGGAATAGTCGGAGGGCCTTCATTACCTCAGTTCTGACGCCGCCTCAAAAATAACCGGGAAGAAGCCGTGGATCTATTCTGGCTCGGTCTCGTCGCCAGCTTAAGCTTGGGAGGCGAGGACGGCGGCGGTGATAATTTTAGTACTTGAGGCAAATTGATAATTTTATAAAAATTCCTAGTGACTTAGTTGCAATTTCATAAATTTCAATATATTCAAATTGGTTAATGTGTAAAATTTGTAATTTAACAAAAATTTGATAAATGCACAACAATGTTCAATACAATGCACAATATATCGTATGTATATGCACATTAAAAGTTTTTAAAAAAAATGTGAATTATATAATATTGTTTATCGTATAATATTGAATCAACCAAAATAATCAGAATAAAATATTATTTATATTATAGATATATATTTAGTATTTTAGTATTTTTATTTAATATCTTATATTATGCTATGACTGAAGAAAAACAATACAAATATATAAATATAAAAAAATAATAATATTTTTTATATCATCGCATTCCGTCGGTTTTTTCGGGTTTGGTCAAATACTGCACACGCATAACGCTACACGGAATGCACAATAGCGAAAAAATAAATGCACAATTATACCTATTAAAATGCACAAAATCTTAAAAGTCTGATTTTTATTTTTTCAAGTGGGGGTCATTAATATGCTTTTCTAATATAACTTAATAAACTATAATTTATAATATAAAAACATATGTATTATTTTAATTTTTATTTATTTTTTATTTTAGATTTTATATGTATAGTTTGCTGGAAATGCACAATAACATAATATTGTATTTTTATTTTTTTCACGCGATCATTGCGCTTGTTCTAATATGCATTCTTGAAGTCATTAATGTGTATGTATTCCAACACTATTGTGCATTCTTGAAGTCATTAATGTGCATGTATTCTGACAATATTGTGCAAATATTTCTAATGTACATATCACTATACAATAGTGCACCGGATAATATTTGTGCATCTATTATATATTTTTTTTTTATGTAAATTTCATAATTAAGTCATTAATTAAATAACCTTCCTCAAACGATTGGAACAATCATAGGGTCTCGAAAGTCGAAACCCTATAGGAGAACAGAAGGTGCGTCATTAATTAAATAACCTTATGTTTAAATTTCTCAAAATTGCATATTAGTCCCTACATTTTATCTAATTCTCACTAAAACAACCCTAGCCCCAAATTAGGATTTCAACCCCCAATTTCTGATTTTTCAGCCGCCGCCATCGAGGTGGACTTCACCGGCCGCCGCCGCCGTCGGGGAAAACAGAGACGGACACTCAACCCTCTCAATTTCACATTATCTCACCAATTTCACCTTATCTCACCAATTTCAGAATTTTAGCTTTAAAAAAATCAACAGAAAACATTAATTTTCCCCAAATTGCAAGGATACCCCAGAGGGAATGGGCCGTTCGTCGTCGGAGTAGCAGTCGTGGCGGCGGCAGCTTGACCGGGAACGTACGCGAGCTTCCTTCATTTGGCAGTGCGGCTGAGAAAATGAAAACGGGTGGTATGTGATCCATCAGAGACTGTTGCTGAAGCGGCGGCGGTGGCGGTGGCGGCGGCGATGGCTGAGCTTCCGAATTCACGGTCTCCGCCGCCCGAGCTACACTTGCTTTTTTTTTTTCCACGACGTCTGCGTGTGTGCGTGTGTGGGGGGAATGTGTGAGTGCGTGTTTTTGCGAGAACGAGACAGAGAGACGGGTTGGGGGTCCAGAGGTGGGCGGGTGATTGGATTTGGTATAAAAATTACTATATTGCCCCTACTTAAGGTATTACTCCCTCCATTTTGAAATATAAGGCATTTAAGATTATTGCATAAATATTAAGAAGATATTAATTAATGAATAAATTGACTAAATTAACCTTATTTACTCTAATCACAACCATTTCACACTTCTTTAATTTCAACACAATGAGGGTATATTTAGAAAAAAATACAAAAATTTGTCTTGATTTTTGAGCGCGTCTTATATTTCAAAAAAATTGAGAAATCTTTATACGCCTTATATTTCAAAATGGAGGGAGTATTTTGACTTTTTTTAGTCATTAGATCACCCCGATTTAATGATCACGGTGTATTCTTATTTTTTTCATTGAATACCATTCTCACTAGAGCGTGACCTCATATATATATATATATATGTGTGATTAGTGTACTTTTTTGGTGAATTTGTATATTAATGTGATAAGTATGATGTTTGCCAAATAAACAAATCGGTTCTTGAAAGAGGTCAACATAATACATTAAAAAATGAAATATTGTTGAATTTCCTTCCTAAAATTCCTTTATTACTAAAAATGGCCATGTTTGAATACAAATATGATCTCATGATTTCACTTGATATTATTCAAGATTCAAATCGTTATAGCGTGACTATTTTTCAATACAAATCTAGTCTTTATCATAGTCTTTATCCAAAATTCAAATTTGTCTATATAGATAATCAATAGCGTGACTTTTTTAATAGACATTATGTCTTGCTTAACCTGATCGTAAGATTCATATCCTCAAATTTGTTTCCATATTTTCTTCTATATTTTTCCTTCTCATTTATTTTCATCTTTTTGGTACCATTCATTAATTTCTAGAGGTGGGAATTTTGAATTTTTTCAAAAAGGATTACTAAGTTTAGTAATTTTAAAAATTTTAGGCGGAACTTTAGTTTTTATTTCAGTTAAATAAAACATTTTTATAGATATAAACAGTATATTATAAAAAACATAGACAATAGTATAACATTTCATATTATAAATCGTATTTTTGTTAAAATGTATGACGGGTCGATCCTCCTAACAATTAAGTTGTCTTACATAAAAATTTATGAATATAAACATCGATATACATTGTGTTCGTTTGCCTAGTAGTCAAAAACTATAATCTTCTAACAATTATAAATATTTTCATTCTAAAATGTCATACTTAAAGTGCTACATTTAATAATATTCTTAACTATGCATTTTTTTTTTTTTAACAAGTCTAACCGATTAGACAACCTAAGAACATTTAGAACGAAGAATTCGATCTATTTTATTGTCCATGCATTCATATAAGTTGATCTAAAGATAAAAAATCAATAAAGCAATACTATCTTTTTGGAAATGGATAAGCCTGGGGCTGAGCTGTAACCAACTTTTACACTGTTGCCATTTAGATTTTCTCATACACGAGACATTTTGTGGTAATTGGGAAAATAGAAAAAAATAGGATGCATGTAACTTTTTATTGCATTTACAGCACGATATACACCGAAGAAAATACCCCGAAAAAAATCTAATCCTCACAAAAAATCTTACACTATTTGAGGTAAGAAAAGCACCTCTGACCCAGGTTGACGACTTCTATATAATTCCTCACAAATTTCATTTACAAAGCAAACACTAAATATTGTAAATAATTCAAAAAAACCACTTGTAAGNAAACTCTCATTTCGAAGCCCCTCTCATTCCTTCTCCAATGGCGAAAAATGGTGTTCCTTCGGATCAAACCGGGATGCCCATACCCGCTTTTGACCCGCCCCGTAAACCGAAGAGAAACAAGTATGCTTTGGCTTGTGCTTTGATGGCCTCTTTAGCCTCCATCTTGCTCGGTTACGGTATATTCATTCTTGTTCCAATTATCAAATTGTATATAAATAAAATTTAAAAACTACGTGAATGATGCTTCTTAGTTTTTTAAATCGGTTCAATGTCATTTTTATTTATTAATTTCTTTCAAAATAAAAAAATAAAAAAATTCCGCAGATATTGGAGTAATGAGCGGGGCCATTATCTACATCGTCAAAGACATAACAATGAGCGATGTAGAAAAGGAAGTTGTGATGGGGATCATAAATCTAATCTCACTCGTGGGCTCGTTTATGGCTGGCCGGACGTCCGATTGGATTGGGCGCCGCTTCACGATCATCATAGCCGGATCGATATTCTTCGTCGGTGCCCTTCTCATGGGCTTCGCCACTAACTACGCCTTCTTGATGGTGGGCCGCATTGTGGCCGGGATCGGAGTCGGGTTCGGGATGATGATAGCGCCCGTGTACACTGCTGAGGTGGCGCCAGCCTCGGTTCGCGGCTTCCTCACCTCCTTCCCCGAAGTGTTCATCAACGTTGGTCGGTATTGATATCGTAATTATTAATTGAATGCATTGAGTTTTTTTTTTTATAATCATTTTGTCATGTGAAATGACACAATTACCCTTACTCTGAGATTTTTCGATAAAAGATGAATATATAATTTCTAACATTTTAGAAACCAGTGACTAGAATTCCAGAAATTGATTGTGAAATTCAAGACATTGTTAATTTATGTATTCTAGAAATCGTTAATGGAATTTTAAAAATTAATTATAAATTATATAATTTAAGATATTGTTTAACTGCTTCAAAAATTAAGCACTAGAAATCATTTCCCGATCTCTAGAAATGGTTTTGAGTGAAAATGTTTGGAGAGGTTATTTTAGTCGTTTCACATGACAAATGTCTATTATTCATATTTTTCACAAGACGTGACTATATTTCATCTTTTTACAAAATCCTGAGAAGACTATTTACTAATTTTACCGATCAATCAATCAACAAGTCGTTAATATCCCACTAAGTGGAGTCTGCTATATGGATCGCATGTCGACATCGTGCTCGATCAAAACACATATCCTCATTCAAATTTAAATATTTTAAACTATAGGTATATTGCTCGGCTACGTGTCGAACGTGGCGTTCGCGAACCTCCCACATAACCTCGGGTGGCGGTTCATGTTCGGCGTCGGGATCATCCCGGCCATCGGCATCGTCGTCGGCGCGCTCGTCATGCCTGAGTCCCCCCGTTGGCTCGTCATGCAGGGCCGCATCTCCGAGGCGAAGCGCGTCCTCGACAAGACCTCCGACTCCCCCGAAGAATCTTTCCTCCGTCTCCACGACATCAAACAAGCGGCCGGCATACCCGAGAACTGCAACGACGACGACAACGTCATCGTCCCCGCCTCGCGCGCCCACCACGGCGAGGGTGTGTGGCGCGACCTCCTCTGCCCGACCCCCGTCGTCCTCCACATCGCCATGTGCGCGTTCGGCATCAACGTCTTCCAACAAGTCAGCGGCATCGACTCCGTAGTCCTCTACAGCCCGACCATATTCGAGAAGGCCGGGATCAAGGGCGAAAAGGACAAATTGCTCGCCACCGTCAGCGTCGGCTTCACGAAGACGGTCTTCATACTGGTCGCCACGTTCCTCGTCGACAGGTTCGGGCGGCGGCCGCTCCTCCTCACAAGCATGGGAGGGATGTTCGTGTCGTTGATGGCTCTGGCGACGGGGTTGACCGTGATCGATAATGGGCCGGGCCAGGCGGGTTGGGCCGTGGCGCTATGCGTGGTGGGGGTTTTGTCCTACGTGGCGTTCTTCTCGTGCGGGATGGGGCCCGTCGTGTGGGTCTACTGCTCGGAGATTTTTCCGCTGAAGTTGAGGGCGCAGGGGGTTAGCACGGGGGTTGCACTCAACCGGGTGATGAGCGGGACGATAGGGATCACGTTCATATCGTTGTACAAAAGCGTGACGATTGGAGGGGTGTTTTTTCTTTACGGTGGGCTAGCGGCAGTGGCGTGGGTGTACATTTACGTGCTTTTGCCGGAGACGAGGGGACGGTCGCTGGAGGAAACCGAGGCGTTGTTCGGGGGTTTCTATAAGTGGAGATCGACGGTGAAGGAGCTGGATGAGAAGAAGAAGAAGGAGAAGAAACTGGAGAAAGGAGATAATAACTAACTGATGGGCATTGAATGAGGGTTGAATATATTACACCACCTTTTTACTAATTTTTGGTGTTATATGTTGTAAAAGAGAAGAAGAAGAAGAAAAAGCTGTACTGAAATTTGAAAAGCATGTTCAATATAAAAGTGGTTTTGGTAACAAGTCCCATGATGTGTACGTGAATGGTTTGTTTTTGGAAAAAGAAAACATTTCCACTGCCCTCAGACCATCTGGCTTCGATATCTCGAGGTCGGTTAGTTTGTCGGGCTTCCGGAGGCCGGTACCTCCAGGTCATGATTGTTAGCTCAACACCGTAAGTCCATGTCCGAGCATCTTATCTTTGTAACCCCGGGAGTCCTTCCAGCCCGGCCTAACCGAGCTACTCTCCCATACCGAATTATCGAGCTAGATCTGAGTACCACATCAATATTAATAACATGTTTCGATACGAAAGTTGAATATCAATCCACACCAAACAACTTAAACTAGATTTATGAAAACACTAAATGCAAGAGAAGAATAGGCAATTAATCGTATCTTTATTCTTCAATACAAGGTACAAAAGTAACAACTCAATGAATTTGTAGCCTTCATCTATAAAGTACATTTTAGTAATGTCTACTTTACTAGTATATTTACAACACTGGTGAGCTATTTAAACTCGGTACATCATAAATTACCCAAAATGTTAAATTTAAGAACGTGAAAATGGTTAAAGAATATACAGAAGTTAGATTGATTGGTAAATTTGAACATTGGAAGAAATTTTGAAGGCACTATAAGCTAGTTTATATCTTATTTAGTTAGTTTATAAGGTTCTTGAATTCAAATAAGTTTGATTTGACGGAAGGAGCATTCAAATAATTATTTCAGTTGATTTATTTGTTAATTTTATTAAACACTCTAGCTTTTAAATTTGTATAATTAGAATATCAATTACTTTACGCAATTGCATGTTTTAAATTACCTAAATATTTAACTATATATATGTAACTTATCGTTTAAAATACAATATAACATTTAAAAATACTAACAGACAAATACAAATTCAACCTATTCAATCACTTATCCGACTGTCAAAAAATTAAAACTGTAACCTTACATATTCGATGATCTTTATAGCTACAAAAACCTTTCAGTAATACAGGAGGCGGAGGAGACAATGGAGCATTTATTTTTCAAGTGTAGAGGGCCAAATTGGTGTGGAAACACTCTCAGCTAGATTGGGACGAAGGTCACATGAACGACTCAACCTTCAAGCCGTGGTGGTGGCAGGTGTGCACGATTGCCAAAACAGAGACCTCCGAGGCCAGAATCCAACTGTCCACTTACCTGCTGTGGTGGCTATGGAGGTCGAGGAACTTGTGGTTGTTCGAAAAGGTGTGGATTCCTGAACAGGTGGTGGCCAAGCGAGCTTGGGTGGAGTGGCAGGAATTCGAGAACGTGGCCAGGCTTGTTAAATGATCTGTCCTTTTGTTTTATGTCTTTTGGTTTTTGTAGTTTCCTTTCTTGCTGTTTGTATCCTCAGGACCCCTATTATTTTTCAGATTTTAGCCTTGCTAGGTTTCTGTGTGTTTGGCCCGACCATTGCTGCTAGTTGTATAGAGGGCGTTTTTTTTGTTCTAGTTGCTGCAGAATGTTTTGCTGTTTGTTAGGGTCGGCTGACTTTTACTGTTAGGAGTGTGGGGGTTTTTTTTTTCTTTTCCTTTTTATTTCTTGGTGGTCTAAACCGGGTAAAGGATCCGCGGTATCTGTCCCTACTTTAGCCGTGTTGTGGGTATTTGTTTCTAGACCACTGTTGAAGTGCGTCTCTCAGTGTCTGTTCCATTTGGGTTGTATTCGGCTCGACATTCCCGTCTTTTTTAATGGAGAATTCTATCGTTGGAAAAAAAAATACAGAAGGCTAGCCTATAGCTGCTAGCAAGCATTGGATGAAAAATGTACACTACGAGCAAACAACACTTATATAGCAATCTCTTTCAGTTTCAGTAGTAGAGAAGGCCAGCCTATAGCTCCTAGCAGTATCGGATAAAAAAACATCCAGCTACCAACCGGCTCAACCGGTCCTATTTTACAGATTTTAATAAATATTAACTAAATTTATTATTATAGCATAAATAATGTATAAAACCACCTTTATTAAAATTAAAATTAATTAAAATCGAATAAGAATGTAACCATATTAAAAGTAAGAGTAGAACTTTCGATTTATGTCAAAAAAATCTTGATATTTCTTTTTTTAAAACCCACTATATCCAACATTATAGTCATTATTTGACTAGTGTTCTATGATATAAAACCGGTATAAACCAATATTATGAACAAAAAA